ATGTATGCACATATGTCAAACTATGATTAGTCTTCGTATGTAAGAAGCCAAGTATTTTCCTATAAAAGTGATATTTTTATTGAAACTAATATTTTTTTTTTCACTCTAAATTAATCTAATCTATAGAGAGGGATTCGAATTTGATGTAAGGGGGCAAGCTGACCAACTGATCTAACCCACGTATGCTATTTAAACCCATTACCTTATTTATTGTAGTATTGAGTTTGTAATTAAAAGTGGTCATAAATGGGAGCAAATTACCTCCATTACTCGCTTAAAGTGTGTTTGTGGTGATTGCTTTGTTGTATTAATCTCACTACATAAAAACCTCTTTTAGACCTTGAAAAGACATTTCAAAGTTGAAAACTCTCCATTACGCAAAGTGATTATACTTTTCCGTTTAAAAGATTCTAATCATTCGAAATTATCCTCCCTATTTGTAAAAGACACCAAAAAAGAAAGAGGGCAAAACCACAGTCAATCTAAGAAGTTCCATTCACAACACAAACATTTCCCACACACGTGCATGCAACTCAAGCCAAGATTACCATCCCCTTCACATGCCTTCCCTTTCCACTTTTGCGTTTTGTCCAAACCCCAAAAAAGGTTGTTTAAAAAACCCACTTTTTCCAATCATAAAAAATCATTGTCCCCAAAAAAGTTGAAGACCAACCAAACACTCTCAACAACATCACCACCCAAATGCTCCCTTCTCCCCAAAACATCCCCACACAAATCCCACAATCCCCATCCTATCCCTCTCTAAACAAACCAACGGTCACGATCAGTCCACGACCCTCCATCTCACTGTTCCACCCGTTTCCATCTTTCTTTCGTCTAGCTCCACTCTCTCCTCCAGTCCCATCTCTCTCCTCATTACCCGCCTTAATTGGCTTGCCCAGTAACCAGTTGGCTCATTATTACACTACGTTACATATCTGATGCCTGCTGTACGATACGCCGGAGAGCACCGATTCTTTTCCCTTTCTCCAGTCGGTTCACAAAGATCTTGTCTTTTTCTCTCTCGGCCTCTCGAACGCCGAAACGCGTCGTTGAATCGTTCCGCGTTTTCTCGTTTCTTGATTCGTTCTTCGGTTTCCGAAGAAAATGTCGTTTCTTGAAATGTAGAGGCATTTTTTTACGAAATCTGTAGTGAACTAGCAATGCGATTTTGAAGCTTCGAGAAATTTCGTGTGTTGTATTTTTGGAAGACGAAGACTCTGAAATGCAGCGCCTTTGATCTGTTTCAACTGGTTTCTCCTTCTCTTTGATTTCGAGGGCTTCTGTTTTTAGGGTTAGGGTAGCAAAAGCTGTGCTGGTTTAGAAATCGATGTTGTTACAAACATGCCGAGCATTAGAGCTCCGGCTACAAAGCAAACTACAACACTCACGGTTCGTAGTTTTTTTTTCTTCTTTTTGGGTGTTTAAAGTTCACAGCTTTACAGTCTTGTTTTGGAAACTTGATGCTTGCATTTTTCTACAGGTTGCTGTGAAATGCAGGCCGTTTAGGGAGAGAGAACGTGGCCGCGACATTGTTCGAGTAATTGACAATAAGGTTTGTGGTGGTGGTTCAGAACTCTTTTTGACTTACAAGTTTTTTAGCATTTGTGGAGTATTAACGGTGTAGTGATTTGATGTTTGAGTTTTTAATTGCAGGAGGTGCTTGTGTTGGATCCTGATCTGTCAAAGGACTACCTCGAGCGCATACAGAATCGAACAAAGGAAAAGAAATATTGTTTTGATCATGCATTTGATCCTGGCTGTACTAATTTGGTACATTGAATCTTTAAACTTATTGGTGTCTGTAATTATGCTCTTTTATTTCTCAAGATTTATTCCAGTTTACTTATCTGCTTGAAAGTAGTACAGGCTGTAAAGGAAACTCTTGATTTGGTATAGTTGATGTTTTCTGGTTGTCTTAACTGTTTCATATATCCAGGATGTCTACACAAAATGCATATTGTCTGTCATCTCTGGTGTCGTTAATGGTCTCAATGCTACCGTGTTTGCTTATGGTTCTACCGGAAGGTAATAAAATGATATATTCTTGTTTTTTTTTATTTTTCACCTCTCATAAGGTTTTGATTGACTTGTATCTGTACCAGCTGAGGCAATGCATTTATGCAACTCAGTCCTCCACCTTGACAAAATTATTAATTGGGAGTATGTATCTGATTTCTGCGGTCAATGTCTAGAAGTGCAAGCTCAAAAGAACCATAATAAGTCAAATTCAGCTTGCATTATATTCAGCTCATGATCTCACCAGTTTTTGTGATTTGGATTGTCCATTACTTAATATCCTCAATAATGTCTTACAATTTTCTCTATACTTTTTCAGTGGTAAAACATATACAATGGTCGGGACACAAGATGATCCAGGACTCATGGTACTCAGTTTGCATACAATCTTTGATCTAATCAAAAGGGACAAGAGCTCTGATGAATTTGAAGTTACCTGTTCCTATCTTGAAGTCTACAATGAGGTGGAACATGCAGTTTATTAAGATACTTAATTATTAGCAATGCCCGTTTGTTCTCTTATAAAATTATTTAATATTTTATTTTCACAAAATTTAGGTCATCTACGATTTGCTTGAAAAGTCATCAGGCCATTTGGAACTCAGAGAGGACCCCGAGCAAGGAGTAATTGTTGCTGGGCTGAGGTGTATCAAGGTTCACACTTGGCCATGTAGTTGTATCTGGTCTGACTATCTGTGGATAATTGTCAAGCTGTTTTTTTTTCTTCTTTTTTTTTTTTTTGCAATTTTGTTAAAAAAAAATTTGGTAGTTCTTTTGAATCACTTTATAGCACTAATTTGAGAAGCATTCTTGCATTGGATGAACAAGTATGTAGTATGGGATGGGTTTTTACTCATCCTATATGATTTTTCTTACAAATTCAGGTACAATCAGCTGATAAGATTCTTGAACTCTTAAACTTGGGGAATAGCCGACGGAAAACTGAAAGCACAGAGGCTAATGCAACATCTTCTCGGTAGGTCAAATTTATTTGTGTGCTATAATCATACCATTATCATTGTTGTTATTTGGAGTTTCTAAGCATGCTTTGGATAGTTGCGATCTTTTTTAGTAGTTCTGCTGAACTCATCAACCCCAGACTAAATTTAAATACTAAGGTGTAACGTTATTACTCATACAAAGTTGTTTCCCCATTAACCAGGTCACATGCAGTGCTGGAAATAAAAGTAAAAAGAAAACAGAAAAATAAGTACCGGAATCAAGTAATGCGAGGAAAACTTGCACTTGTGGATCTAGCTGGCAGTGAACGAGCTTCAGAAACAAACAGTGGAGGCCAAAAATTAAGGGATGGAGCAAATATTAACCGTTCACTTCTCGCCTTGGCAAACTGCATAAATGCACTAGGGAAACAGCAAAAGAAGGGTCTTGCTTATGTTCCTTACCGCAATAGGTATCTGATTGTAATTGTTATCCTGAAGTCCTCCCTGCTACTGTAGTTAGCCTCCCTGCTACTGTACTTAATTTAATTAGTTTTGCAGCAAATTGACACGAATACTCAAAGACGGTTTGAGTGGTAATTCTCAAACGGTTATGGTTGCTACTGTATCCCCTGTGGACAGTCAGTATCATCACACTGTGAATACCTTGAAATATGCTGATCGGGCAAAGGAAATAAAGACACACATCCAGGTGAGAGTCTCAAGTAATCATCTACACACATTCATCAAAACATGATTTTGGAACTTGTGCGTGGTTTTGTGTGCTTTTTGCCTTTAAGAAATAGTCCATCTGGGCATTGCAGACGATTGAAATTCAGTTCTCATTCTGTGATGGACTCATGATCTCATTTGGTAGTCAGCTGTTAAAGAATTTTTGAAAGTGACATTGCGTGTCGGCTTTCCACTTTTGTTGCATAGGAGCATATGGTTGTTTGTTGATTGATTTGTCTATGCTACATGTTTTGTTTTTCATTAATTGCCAATTTTGTATTTTCTATGGGTTTCTGTGCATTAATTTATTGGTTTCCTCAGCATTAGTTTGTGCAGAAATGTTCTTTTGTTGTCATGCCTACCACTGGCAAGGCTTGTACTGTTATATATGCAATAAATTTTTGAGAATAGTTATGTTTCGATCTCAGAAAAACATCGGCACTATTGATACACATGTATCAGACTACCAACAAATGATTGACAGTCTTCAGGTGAGTGGTTAATAGTTTACCTTTAGGATTTTATTTATAACTTCAATTTTCTTTTTGAAAGATAACAAATTTTAGATTGCAGATTGAGGTTTGCCGATTGAAAAAAGAACTGGCTGAAAAGGAATCACAGCTAAGTGTCAAACCTGTTGAAAAAGCTGCAGATGATGAACTTTCATGGTTGAATATTTTGAGCCATGAAACCAGTGAAAATGTTCAGGAAAGGATAAACCTACAGAAGGCATCATTTGAGCTTGAGGAAACCAACCTTCGTAACCGCCTTGAACTCCAACATCTTGATGATGCTATAGCAAAAGAACAGGTTAGAGCATCCCACTTTTGATGTTGCTTTATGAATAAATATTGTGTGTTGCACATTGTTCTTGTAGGACCTACAATCCATTTCACTTAGTTGTTCAGACTTTTCCAAACTTCCCCGAAGAAAATCCATGGCCTTCCTGGCCTTCCTGAGAGAAACTTTGTTACAGGACTAAATTTTCTTTTCCCTCCCTAATCTCTTCTTGCTTTGTTAAGAGGTCTGGTAGCTTCAAACAGATCTGGAAATGAAATTATGTCTTCTATTCTTACATTTATTTACTTTATTGGGGAACTGAATATGATTATTGAGAATGTTCAGATAATTTTTTTGGATAATATAAACTAATGCTCGAGTACTTTTCTGTGTCACAGGCTATTGGAAAAGATGGGGAAGTTTTAGAGGTTATGAGAACAAGGCGGCAAGTAATTTTGGATAACATCCGTGAGAATGATGAAGCTGGTGTCAATTACCATATGGTAATATCTCATTTGTAGTTAAATTATAAACAATACAACTTTGTCAGCTTTTGATCTTATTACCAACTTAACATTTTGTAGGAAATTGAAGCAAATGAGAAGCATCGATGTCAACTCCAAAATATGATTGAGGAGGCCATTAGTAACAATGGCAATAAGACGTACTTGCGTATTCTTAGTCAATACAGGCTCTTGGTGAGTTGATTGTAAAGCCCGATTGGATACACTTATACTGGACTTAAAAATGTAAATTAGGAAGTGATTCTTTTTAGTTGAATATGGAAAGTTTTGAAACTCAAGCAAGAGCATATTTGTACATGTTACGTTCTCTTGAGATAAATGTTTATCAAATACTGATGACAGAATTTCCTTAGGATAACTGGTAACTCCTATGACTGGCATTGGTATTGCCAAATCAAAATTTTCAATTTCTCAGAGTTACATATATGGCTTTAAGAACTTGTTGGGCGTAACAGTTTTACTTTAACTACTGTAGGGAATGGCCAATACTGAGCTTCAGTTTGAAATGGCAATGAGGGATCAAGTGATTAACAACCAACGAGAAGCACTGAGAAACATGTGGGACTTGCTTATGGGGTTAGGACTTGATGAGAGACAGATCATGGACCTTGCATCTAAGAAGGGAATAACTATAGAAGACTGGACGACAACACCCCATCTTGGCCTTTCTTCAAGGGAGCAGTCACCTGATTTGGCCTCCAGCAAATATTCTTCTTTTGGCCATTGTCGTTGCATGGGTCAGTCGTATTCTAGATCGTCTTGCACCTTTCAGCAGTCTCAAGACTTTGGTTCGATGTCATTGCCCCAGGGGCATTTGGATTTGGCTCATTCCTTTTCCAGGGAGGAGCACCATAGCTCCTACTACTTATTGTCTCATGACCATTCCCCTTCAGCCTGTATGAGTATGAGGACAAGTAGTGAGCACTGGTTTGGTGGCAGGTCAAGTTCACGGTTTGGCACTCTTGATAAGCATTCTCAAGATTTGCAAAAATCATATCCAGTGAGGGGGAACTCAAGCTTCACCAGATAGTCAAATCTGTATACCAGCTTCATCTGTCAGTGTGGATTTTGACAAGCAGAGAAGGTATTTGCACATCTCATACTGGCAGCAATTATATTCTTTCTTCTATAGTTCTGGGGCCTGTTGTGTTTCTTATTCAAAAAAAAGTATGGGTTTAGACCTCCGAAAGAACTTATAGATGTGATGGTTACCCATCTCGTATCGATCAAATCCTACTCTATCAGCTTTCCTAGGTGCTGCAAAACTTATATAGTATCTCTCTTTTCAACTGCATTGCCATATTTCCTATTTTTCTGAGTTGCATTAGCCTTTCACACAGGATGAATGGAGTAGTAGTCCTTTGGAGGCAACATCTGTACAGCGGTCCTCCTGATGGTATGAGTAGCAGCCAAGTAGATTTATAGGCCACAGCGGTATAGCTCAAGGTTTGGATATGGCCGATTAAAACAAGGCCCTGATGTGCTCAGTTGAAAGTACACGGTTTCTCGATATACTTCTACAAGGCCAATTTTCTTTCGGTTTCCATAACCCTGACCCCAAAGGCCACCCCTCCAACCTTATATAGCCTTGTTGTAATTTTTTAATTCCCAGTCCTTCGCTTCCCGTGTGTAATTTTTTTTCCCCTCCCTTCTTTCCCTCTATGTAGTTACACCTAGGGAATCTGTAGGTGAAAACATGGCAGTTGATTTCTTTTTGGGTTACTGACTGTATGCGAAAAAGATGGGGGGTTTTGGAGAGGGTGGGAGGAGGAAGAAGGGATATGAAAGCATTTTGTTAAATACGTATGTTCTGAACTTGGACTGACGGAATGTAGTTCTAGTGCTGTGTACATATGTTTATGAAATGATCATGCCGTGCTGATTATCAAGCTTGTAACCACTTTGCTTTGTGTTTTAATTGCTTTCATTTTTTTTCAGACTTGTAAGAACTCATCTTGTTTTGTAGAGGGAAAAAGTGCAGCGTATCTGTTAAGGCCTGATCATTTTCTTGTTTAGGAAGGGTGACCATATTCAAGTACCATACAATGATTACTGAGATATTTTTGCTCATCACTTTAACCTAAGTTGTATCCTCACCACCCTTCTCAATCCTTGACACGTGTTTATTGACATAACTATAGTTTAACTCTTTATTTTGTATTTATGGAACCATGGTTATGTCAATAGACACGTGTCAAATGTTGAGAAAAGTGGTGAGGGTATACCTTGGGTTAAAATGGTGAGCAAAAATGCTCCCATAAATAATTTAGCCGAACATTAAATAAAATGTCCATATTTGGTAGCGGTTTATTTATTTATTATTATTTCTTTTGTTTTTCTCAAGAAAAATAATTTTTGTTAAGATGATAACAAAAAAATTCGCACTTAATGACCGAAATAATTTAGCACGAGAAACACAAATTGTTTGAAAAATTACACTTGGAAAATTCTATTCATTGTTGTAAAGTCAAGAACGGAGCCCAAAATGGTAGAGCCCACTACCTAATTGATTGAAGAAAAATGATGATGCTTGTCTGGTGTATCCTCACCACCCTTCTCAATCCTTGACACGTGTTTATTGACATAAACATAGTTTAACTCTTTATTTTGTATTTATGAAACTATGGTTATGTCAATAGACACGTGTCAAATGTTTAGAAAAGTGGTGAGGCACCTTGGGTTAAAGTGGTGAGCAAAAATGCTCCCATAAATAATTTAGCCGAACATTAAATAAAATGTCCATATTTGGTAGCGGTTTATTTATTTATTATTATTTCTTTTGTTTTTCTCAAGAAAAATAATTTTTGTTAAGATGATAACAAAAAAATTCGCACTTAATGACCGAAATAATTTAGCACGAGAAACACAAATTGTTTGAAAAATTACACTTGGAAAATTCTATTCATTGTTGTAAAGTCAAGAACGGAGCCCAAAATGGTAGAGCCCACTACCTAATTGATTGAAGAAAAATGATGATACTTGTCTGCCAAACATTCGAGTGAAGCCAAAGCCTTGTGAGTGAATAGCCAATATTTTGGCCTAGAAATAGACACCTCCATCAATAGAGAAGGAAGTGAGAAAAAAAGAAAGCCCCGACAGGGAAGGGAGAAAGAGGAAGAGTGATAGGAGAGAGTAGAGAGAAAAATCAGTGAGTCGGTGAGATTGGAGAGGGTAGAGAGAAAAATCAGTGAGTCGGTGAGATTGTAAACACTAAAGTTGTAGCCCTATTATTTTACATAGTGGAAAAGTTACTACTGCTACTCTTTGAGGACGTAGGCATAGCCGAACTTCGTTAAATATTGTGTCTCATTTACTTTACGTGCAACTCAATATTCTCACATATACCGTTCATTTTACAACACGTTATCAGCACGAAAAGCTCTCAGGTATAATTTTATATGCTGCACTATTATTTATATTACTAACCATTCAAAGGTGTGGTGGAAAGCATGTATTGGTTTCAGGTGAAAAGCAATTTTGTGTGGGGGACAGACGTGATATCCTTTAGTAGACTAGCACTAAGGATTTTCTCTACTTTTCTAATTATATATATTAGTATAATAATATTATATTATTTTATTGCATCTTGGTGTTGATCATGATTCATAATTAAGATCTAAAAATCGAGAGTTTTGGAAATATCGGTGGTAAAAAAATATGGATATATCGATGGAAATATCGAGGAAATATTGATATCGATAAAAATTGAATAAAAATCAAGAAAATTGTGAGAAAAACTTGGAAATTTTTATTGAAACTTTAGAGGATGTTTACTTAGTCAATTATCTATTATTTTATCACAAAAAATTGGAAGGAAGTGCATGGCATGGTGGGTTTGAGTGATTTAAATTGATTATGTAGCGACCTGACAAACACTGTGACTTTAGAAAATATATAGTAATTAGTGAAAGAAAATTAAACACACCATAATTTTTTAGTTATAATAATTTACTACAATATATTACACTTGATATATATGACAAGATATATGAGCTTGACAAAAAAAACAAAAATAAAATGCATGAATAACTTAATACTGCATATAAAGAATTCATATTAAAGTTCAAACTTAATATCACGTATAATGAATAATATTAAAACTCAATAGTGAATAATAATACAACTCCATAATAAAATAATAAATAACATTAAACATATGCCTAAATTTATTTTTAGGGAATTTTTTTAATATGAAAATTTATCCTAGATAATATTAGCTTGCAGACAAAAGACCTTATAAATATTATACATCGTAGTTAAGGGTTTCAATGACTATTTTTGTCAAACTCGATCTTGCTTTTACGGATTTCCCGGAGGCACTTTTCAAAAGTATCTTGAGAACCTCACAAATTTCTGTAGTTAATTTGAGATTCACCGGATTAAACTATTCCTCCAATTTGTGTATAAATATGTTACTAACAAAATTTTCTTTGCAAAATACATCCAGCTTTCTCCAGTTTTCTCCATATCTAGTGATGCAATGTCCACTTGTTTTTCCTATCAGTGAGTGCTCGATATGTTTGAGAAGCGAGACTATCTCTCATCATCCATTCAGAGCGAGACTATCCCTGATCACATTTTGGCTAGATCAGGGGAGTGTAAGGACGACCACATGCTCTAATCTCCTGAAGTTCTCCTAAGCTAGGAGAAATGAGAGTTTGTTGTCTGTTACCTCACTAGTTTCCTTCCCTAATTGCTTACCTACTTTGCAATCAATAACACAATTCTTTGTATCTTTTCTTTCTTTTTATAACTCTCTGTTCATAAGGGATTTTGTTTCTTTAAAACAATCATCTGAAGAACAAATCCATGTAGTGAACCTAACACTGAGGGTTATTTTTTTGACAGAGACAAAAGAATTGTGATTTTTGCTCTTGCAGGATATAACTAGATCATCAATAATTACATTATATTTGCTAAGCCGATACGAGCTTGAACGATATTTGAGCAAAGTTTCTCCCACCAAAGGATGTAAGAAATACTTGTGTTATTTCATGCTTGTACTCTTATTTTGATATTTTGTACGACATCTTGAATGGTAACCAAATGGGGAGATAAGGCCGTTCCAGAAGAGTGCCATGCAAAGGATCATTCCAAAAGAATGACTTGCATTATAGATCGTTCTAGAAGAACGACTTGTATTATGACCATTCCAAAAGAATAGCTTGTATGATTCTAATATGTATTCATGAATTATTAATGCAAATTTCACATATTGTAAGTTTGATACATTAATAATACACTGTGTAGATTAAAGTCCCATAAAAACATAACATGAGTATAGCAATGATCAATATGATGCATGCCTGTTGCGTAGCAAATGATATGAATTGAAGTCCTGGAAGGACAATCCATTAACATGTCAATATTAATACAGTGCACGCCTAATGCGTATCAAATTATATGATTTAAAGTCCCAAAAGGATAATTAATTGACATGTGTGATCGGTGCATAATTACATATCATTTTGTATCCTTCTAACTTATGATTTAGTTATGTTTTTGAGTTAAACTTGTACTTTTAATAAGTTTTGTGTTTGTTTCAGTGTAATAAGCTTGAGACTCATTAAATGCATTTTGGAGACAAGTTAGCTCATCGGTGTCTGCAGATCAGTCAACTTCACGAATTGGACTATACTTGCTCAAGAAGAACCAGATGATGAGCCATATATCATTGGAAATATGCGGAAGTCTAGTTTCTAGAGAATTTTACAGTTCATGATTCCGAGTCTTCTAGAGAAAGTTATGCAAGTTTTGGCAGCTTAAGGTCAAATTCGGCAGTATCTGCGTTACTGGGCCAAAAATGACATTTGAAGGTCTTTTCGATTTTTTCTTGAGTTGGGCTGCATATTCTTGGAAAGATATTTCAAAGGGTTTGAAGATCCAGATTTTTCCAGATTTTGTAGGAGGGAAGATCAAGCCCAAAATAAGCCCACAAGCTGACTGCAATGAAGTCAATTCCAGTCTATTTTCGGCAGTCAACTTACAAGGCCCAAAACGTACACTTTTACTACTCAGATGGGAATACATTCTTCATAAAAGTTGTTCCAATGGGTGTCTATTATGACATATCCAAATTTGAGCCCCATTGGATACATATTGAAACCTCAGGCCTTCCTACACCAAGCCTGGTTCAGAAGAATC